AATTTAGCAGTGTAAGACTAGAGGGAAGGCAGCTAGTCATCACCACCCACCGCCAACCCTTGGGCTACTATTTTACCAACGAATAGTGGGATTGACCGTCACATTATAACACCCCCACGGCTGAAAGGGCGAGCATGTTTGGATGGGACAGGGATTCGAACCCGCAACCCCAAGATTGCGAGTCGAGCGCCCTAACTACCTGGCCATGCCGAGCCTAGTAATAAGTAACCAAGGAAACTGTGTGAGGTGAAGAGCTTTAGTAATAAGTAACCAAGGAAGTTGTGTGAGGTGAAAAGCGATTAAAATGATATTTTTAGATGGTTGTAAAATGACCAGGCTTATTTTAAATATTAAATCAAATATTTGACGAGACAAGTCTCTGTTTATAAACTGCATACATTATTTTTTACCAATTCGATCGAATAACAAAGAAACAGCAACAAGAACTTATATTTCACAAAAGAATATTTTCTCCCATTTATGAACGTTATTGAGAAGCATGTGACATTTTGCTAACTCTCGCGTGAAAAACCCGTTATTTTGTTCTAAACGGTATTTTGCCATTCCTCACTCCAGTACTCACTCGGTATCGTAAGCATCCATATGTCACGTGGATGCATCATAAAGCTGTCATTTAATTAAGGAGGGGGGGGGGGTCCTAATGTTTGCTTAAGAAACATGGCGAGCGCGAGAGAGAGATGCACGTACCCATCTGTTCATTTCTCAACTCGAATACCCTATATCGCAAGGCAACAAGCTCATCTTATCTAGGTAATCATTGCTGACTTGACAGGTTTAACTCGAGTACATACAATTTCCGTTTCCTTACAGGATTAAGTAAAATAAAAGTTTCAAGGGATATTTCGTGACATAAGCCTTATTATCCTCTACTTGAATGTACAAGTTCGCGTGCAAGCTGTATAGAAGAAAAGTAAAACATTTACGTGGTGTTATAAAATTCGACTTGAATATTGTTTACTAAGTCACGTGTATAAGGAACCCATTTTCATCACTTTACCATGTTAGAGTGAGGTTAGTCACTTGTTTTTTGTCATGGCAAATATTGCAGTAATGACAAAACGATAAATATCTGTGTAATTCTAGCCTTCTTTTTCTCAGCTAGCCATTGTCTTCTATATGATGTCTCCAGCAGTTTTAACCGCGGAAAAAAAAGTGTAGAAATGTTTAAGAACAACCTTCTCAGCTACTTTCTTGAATGATATGTAAAAGTTGAAAATCCTCACAAGTCAGCAATGATTCAACAAGTAGCTGATGATTTGCTGAACTACAGAAAGGCTTAACTCAAACTTGTACTGATAAAGTATCTGAGTTTGTTGCACAATAATTTATTTATTTAATTTTACCCACGAAACATTTAGCGCGGGCCTGAAAGAACGCTTACCTGAGAAATCTTTATAGCAATCGACATTCACGCATCAGTAACTAAAAATCTTAATCCCTTTTTATAACCTAATATAAAATCTCGAGAAATCATGTGATATTGTAATTTTTAATAAATCACATACTGGTCTAAAACCCAAGGTTAAAAACATAAATTTAAAACTAAACAATACCGATAGTATCAGAAGTTAACTCGTGTAGCAACAATAATGCGTTAAGGCTTACGATGGCATAATAGACAGTGATATTAGATAGAGATTGGTATGCTAAGACTGTCATTTATTTTATTATCAGAGGCAAAGATGCCCCAAGATTCTCTACAAAACGCGAAAAATTCGTTTGGTTCTTATTTATAATGTCACTGTCCTGCGGTTTCTAAGAAATATTGCAGTAAGTAACTTTTTTTAATCAAAATATTAACGTGTGGTGTGAATAGTAGTATTTATTTATTTTCAACATATCGATACAAACAGATCAGCGCTACTGCATCTATGTAATAACATTGCTCTAGCTTGCCTCAGTAACCCTTAATAAGGCATAGGAAAACGTAAGCGTAAAATCATGCTCGCCCTTTCAGCCGTGGGGGCGTTATAATGTGACGGTCAATCCCACTATTCGTTGGTAAAAGAGTAGCCAAAGAGTTGGCGGTGGGTGGTGATGACTAGCTGCCTTCCCTCTAGTCTTACACTGCTAAATTAGGGACGGCTAGCGCAGATAGCCCTCGTGTAGCTTTGCGCGAAATTCAAAACAAACAAACAAACAAACAATAAGCGTAAAATAAACAAATAATACAGATTTTGTTTTTTTACTTGCTGTGCTATGTAAACTTATAAGTCATTCACATTAGATAAAACATTAATATATGTAAAAGTATCATCCGCTGTTGTTGTTTTCAGTTTGTGATTTGACCCATTGTTCTTTGATATTTCATTAATTTTTATGTTTAATTTATCTATGCTTGGCCTTAGGTATACATTATTGTTTATTGTATTTTCTGACATTCAATACATTAGGCCCGTGGCTCTTCTACCGGTATTGTAACGCTTTTGTGGGTGGGTCTTTTATCTACTGTTTTCTAGTGGTTAGCGTGCGAGACTGCGAATCAAAAGGTCCAGGGTTCGAAACATAATGCTGCTAACTACGCTTTGAGGTATGGGCGCGTTATAAAAACGATAAGTTTTATCCCGATATTCTCTTCATTGTACCATTTTTTTCAGGTACCACTGATACCTGACATCCTCAGAGGTACTTCCTTTTTCTATACAAACTAAGCTGACCCTAAATAGTTTTGCAACAAGAATTTAAACACATTATTCGGAAGTAAAATAACGCGAAGAAATCCCTCCCACACAAAATACTACATAGGTCGCTCGAGCCGACTAAAAAAAAAAAGCATATAAAGTCATTTGTTAAAATCTAATCTATCATAGTAAAACTCGGTTTTTGTTTGTCCTGAAAATGCGCGCGCACCTAAATATCTAAACACGCATGCGCGCGCACTTCATTTCAACGGATGTAAACAAAAGGCGGATGTAAATATACTTAATAGACGTTTTGTACAATAACATATTAAGAGCTTAAAGTTTTTAAAAAGTTCTAACGTTAGGCCGTAGAATAACATCATAAGTATATTTATTGATAGCATGTATAGGTAAGGAAAGTTTGGTCTCAACTAAACTAAAGCAAAAACATACACAAATTATGGTGCTAATTTATCTCTTTACCAAATATAGACCGTATATAATAAAGGCATATTAATCGATGTTAGGCCTAAGACAAGTGAATTTACAGATTTCGGCGTTTAGAATTCTTTTGTATTATGCTAGAAATCCTGTATTTAAAGAAGTACTGTTGCAATAAAGATAGTGATTTGGCCACAAATATTTTGCGGGTCTCTGCTAGTACACAAATAATTCTACTGTATTTTTTCATTACACTTAATTTTTTTTTCTCAACATGTGCCATAAATATAAAATATTTCTACCTTTAATCGTTACTTACCAAGATTAACGGCTTGTGTGATAACTGCTTTACAAATGACGTGTGTTAGTAGCTAAATACTTATTGATCACCAATCAACCACGAATAACATTTTATGATACTACACGCTTTGATTATTAAGGTAGTTCTCTACAGGGGGCAGGGTTGTCCGGTTTATTGCATTGAATCAGACTTTTATAAAGTCAAAACCTAGACTTTTACTACCGTGATACTTAACACGACGGTACAATCAAATCAAACGTATTTATATTGACCAGGTATTTTATATATATTATTGGATAAACAAAATAGTTAACGAGAGTTAACGTGAATTAGGGGATGATGTTTCTTCGGTCCTCAATGAACTTTGACACTAAAAAACTGTTTTTATATTATTTTTTTAATAAATTTACGCAGTGGGATATTTTATTATTAAGAATATTCTGTTTATTGATAACGATGTGTTTGATACTATACAAAGAAAAATAATGGTAAATATGTGAGTTATTATTTTTATTTTTTTTTAACTTACCTTACATTCTGGACAGGAAAACTGGACTGTATATTCTCCTCCACAATCATACCGGTTAAGCAACGATTCAAACTCGCACATCATTTGGCGAGCTAGGTCGTCAAGGTCACGGATTGAGGTCAAAGTGTTTAGACACTCTTCTACTGAACCTTCGATGACAAGAGTTCGGCTCCGGGGCTCGAGCACCGATAATAGAGGGTAGTGGGAACAGAAGCAAGGATTCAGTTGTACGAAGTGTTTCTCCCGCTCTCTGCCCGGGGACAGGGCGCACAGGTACTCCAAGGAAAGGCACTGGGATTGGCGTGAACCACGCGACATCGGACAGGTAGGACTTACCTTAGAACTGGAAGTGGAGTCTAAAAGAAAATCGTCTGACATCCAAGGGTTATGGAAATGCGTGGAAACACTTAAACAGGTTACGAAGTTGTCCAGTAACACGACCGTGAAGAATAGCAGAGAGGCCAAGCACGGCCGCCATCTCTGCGACACTTTCCGATATGGCTTTTCTAATGAAGGCGTGCGGCTCCCATCGTCAGACTCCAGTGTCATATTTCATTGGATTAAGAAATGAAGCAAGAGCAGGAAGCTAGCAGGGGCCTCGGGGCAGGCTGACCTACCCGTCGCTGGTCCGAGTTGCCCCTGCTCGCCCGCCCTCTCCTGGCCCGCTCGAAGGTAACCTTCCGCGTTAACACCTTCCGACCACTTCATCTTTAGCTTGACAACTTAGCCATTTAACGCCATGTTTAGATGAAACTTTCTACTCCTTGTTAAACGAAAACACTGCGCATGCCCACGGTAAATCGGGGTGGTGTCAAAAATGATGAAATTCTGTTGGTAAGAAGAGGAAGAGGAAGACGGGAAATCTAGTTTACATAACTAGACTCGTGTCTGGGAGCTACTAGCGTCAGCCAGCATCATCAACTCTGAGTGTACGTGGTGCGCTTGCGCGAACTTCCTCCGCGGTTTCTGCCACTGCGGGGATGCGGTCCAACTGCAGCCTAGCAACCAAGAGTATAGGGGAAGAAAAAAAGGGGAAGACAGTTAGTTACCCAGGCAGATGGGAGGATCTGGAATTAGTTGAAAATTTAATTTTTTTTTACGTGGCGCAGATCCTGACATGAACCTAAACATGATAAAAACGTAGTCTGTTGTAAGTGTTCCCTCAACAAGTGGACACAACAGTGGGTATCGACCCTTGCGTGAGCTGCTGCCTTCAGATGGTATGCGTTCATTCAGCAACGTCAATAGACTGGCAGCTAAGGGCCTCTGATGCTTGGGATTAGGCCAAACTTGGCACATTGCCTACTATTACTAAGATCGATTAGATGGAATTTGACGACCGGAAATGACAACAGTCGTGGGTTTCAGTACCGCACAAAAGTTTTAAGTGCTCAAAGAGTCAGTAACTTTCATGGTCAGGCGAGTGCTTCCTATTAATGGGTTTTACACATTCACTACTCATAGAGGATAGAGGAGTGTTTCTTTAAAGAATAAATGGATCCCTTATCTATTTTATGCTTCAAATTTTAAATGGACAATAATAAACTTTGATTTCAAGAACTAAGCCAGGCCAACGCGTAGTGATAAAAAACAAACCTTTTGTCTCCATGACGACATTCATCTAATTTATCTACTGTGAAGCGTCCACGAAAACACAACAACAAGTTTTTTATTTCACCGTGACTCGCCCCCCCCCCCCAGTGGCACAGCGGTATGTCTGCGGACTTAGAACGCTAGAAACCGGGTTTCGATACCCGTGATGGGCAGAGCACAGATAGCCCATTGTGTAGCTTTGTGCTTATTTACAAACATACATTCATCGTGATTCAGTTTCTTTTTTTTGTTCGTTTGTGTTTTTTTTTTAAGGTAAGCGATGATAAGTTTCGAGCCTATTTTGTATGAAAGGCAATCTTACAGATATGTTAATATCTCTGTTGGGGGATCAACTACCCAAAACATGATAAAAATAAACTACACCACACGTCATGTTAAGGCTATCTAATCTCTCTCTCTCTGCAGCGTATGTTGCTTTATCAAAACTCGTTGCATGCTGAACAATGATTACCCCCAGTCACGACTCATATCGTCTTAATTGAGTCATGAAAAGATGAAAAGCGTTTATTTTCTGTTTGTTATTTTATTTTGCGTTACTACGTTATGGTTTGTATTTTCGTGGCGTTTTTACAGTCACGAAGTCAATGTGGTCTATTTATTTATGTTTCAGTTACTGCACGCTAGTTAACCACCCGCACGTTTCATCACGTTAGTGAGGTGAAAATTTATTATGCGTTATATTATAGTATATTATTATAACAATTCATAAAGATTAGCTTTTTATTTTAGAATTTCGTATTTTCTTATTTTAGGTTCTATCAGCATTTAAAAACACATACGAGAAAAAAAAAATGGTTTTGACTGTAAGTTTACGTAGTTAATAGTGCGCATCAAATATCCGTGATCAATTAATGGATAAATAAAATTCCGTTTACATTCTATTTCAGATCTCAACAAACCTGGAACTCATCAATGATGAACACTTTGATTAACATTTGCATTGTGTGATGTAATTGACTTATAACAAACACTCAAGTTATCGATTTATTTTTATACTATTCACTATTGTAGGGCCCATATTTCATTTCTGACTAGCAAAGACGCACAAAACATTTACGGTCAAATTCGTATCTTTATTCCAACAGTACTTCTTTGAATACAGGATTTCTATAATCTATACAATTAATACGATTGCGCCCCCAAGTGGCACAGCGGCATGTCTGCGGACTTACAACGCTAGAAACCGGGTTTCGATACCCGTGGTGGGCAGAGCACAGATAGCTCATCGTGTACCTTTGCGCTTAAGTTCAAAAACAGACAGACAAAAACAGAATACGATTGCGTTTGTCTGTCCGAAACTTTTCTCGCAAATTTCTCGATCAAACGCTATAAATCTTATATCGTTAGAAAGGCCTTTGTCCGAGGAGTCTGGATTGCATATTGGCTTTCATTTCTGAATCGCTTTTCCTGTTTTTTGCTTAGTTGAACTTTTCAATACAACGAGTATGGTACACAATCGCACAATGTCGTTATCATCATGTGACGACTAGCTTCCATTTCAACTTTAGTTTTTTTTATTTGAAAGTATTTCACACAAACAACAATTAACCTGGATGTAATTTTCTAAAATAAAATGAACATTACACTAAATAAATATTATATGCGCTTTCTCAACTTATTTAGGTCAAAAATATGTATGAACATTTCGTTGAAAATCATTTGCTTATCACTTTGTGAACACACATTCAGACGTTTCTGCGTAATCAGCTAAGTTTGCCTTCATTACAACTTTACATTTACTTTATTTTGCAATAACTTAACTTCGGTTAGTTTCATAAACTGCTATAAACACCTTTTAGCTACTATTTTGTGTTTATTACGAGTTTTATTCTTTATTTTCATGAGTTTCTTTGTTTCAATTTGTTTGTAATTTGTTTGGGCTTATTTGTTTCAACTCGTAAACCTGTGTCATACACTGAACGTTCATAACTGTTCCATACTCTGTACTCTATTATTACTTTACTTTATTGATTACTTACGTGGAGTTTTATTAAATAAAGTTACGGCTACGTGAGTTTGTTTGTCTGACTACGTAATTGTTTTTTTAAATAGACCAGGATTTATCGAATTACCACATAATGCCTGCAAGCAAGTGCACCTTAAATGGCGAAAATGATAATATAAGGAAAATTCAAGCAAAAGGCGTGAAAACTACCGCAAATGTTTTGGGGATCGCAGCTAGTACAAAATAATTCAGATCGCAGACACCGAAATCTATAAGTATACTTTCTTTAGGCCTTACATTAGTTAAGCCTTTATTAATTACGGCCTATATTTGATAAAGAGATAAGTTAACACTGTAACTTGTTTACGTTTTTTGTTTTAGTTGAGTTAGGGCTAAACTTTACCGTATTTAATACAATCAATAAATAAACTTATAATATTATTCTACGACCTACCGTAGTCCTTTTTAAAAACTCTGATAAACTTTTAAAATGTTGTTGTACAAAATGTCTACTAAAGTATATTTACATCCGTGAAAATGAAGTGCGCGCGCATTTTCATAACAGACATAAATTAAGTATTGGTATAATAGATGGAATATTTTTATTTTTTTACCTATTATAACACTCAGCTTGAAGTAAAAATTGGGTTAGGTCACCCATTTACCATGTAAAATACATAAAGAATCCCGGCAGTAATTAGTGGAATAATTGCATTACTTGTGATATTTTTGTTTACATTCTTTGTATAAGTCATATGTTGTTACTAACCCCGTAACCAACAAAGTCATGGATTCACAAGCAAAACTGATTCGTAGATAGTACAGAAAAATGTGTTTCAAAAATGGGTGGTGTCCTGAATTTTCTCGAACAGTATGGATTTCAGGAATCACGTGTTTAGAGACGTCAAAGTTGTTATGGCCTTGATTTACAAAGAAGTTGATCATTCTGTCTCAAATACAATAAATCAGATTGTTTTCTTGTTTATATGTTCTAAGTTATTGCCTTTATCTCTCTGTCTTTTTTAAATGTAACTATTTTGTTTTTGTCATTAATTGTAAATTACTGAACTTCATTTTTGGTATGTATCCATTGAAAGCCCCTCCAGAGGACTCAGTGGTAAGCAGGCCCGGCGCCAGCCTTTTCTAAGGGGGAGGGGGCTGAGGTGGGCCAGATAGAATATTGGAGAGGCTTTGCCGTCAAGACTAAACACGCTGGCTGGGGTGGCTAAGGGGAGCCTAAGGCAAATTTTGGGATGGCAACAGCCCCCAATCCCCCACTTTAACGCCTATTAGCGAATGTTTAGTGTAAAATTCGGTTGGTAATAATTACGGAGAATGAAATTCCGTAGAAAAGTACGGAACGTATTGGTTAACCAAACAAAGTAATAAAAAGCGTTTGGATGCCAATACAAGTAAACGGTTATTTTGTATTACAAAAACTAATATAAGTCTACCCAAAATATTTGTAGACTTCCGCCACTACATTATTACAAAGAAACATGATAAAAAAATATCGTGGGTGACCTATACAAAAATAATATAAAATAGTCCAGAAACTTCTCTTATTAAACCAAGTTCAGTTTCACAGGTGATCTACAAACGCCATTACACTACCGAAAGGCTTGTTTGTTTTTGAATTTCGCGCAAAGCTACACGAGGGCTAT